AATACTGGAATTGATAATTACAGTTTTGAAATGAGGGTACCCAGCTTGTTTGATAAATCCATTTTGATAGAAATGCAATTTTTAACAATTTTTGGACGTAATTATGTGGCTTCATTATTCCAACTATGTGAAAAATTTTTAACTGTAATTATTTGTTGGCAAAAATTGTATGTATATACTCAAATATTTAATGAGACAAATGAAAGAAATGCGTTTCTGACAATAATTTAAAATGGTATCATATATTATATGGGACACCCTTTATTTAGGAATTTACGATAATTTTGTGAGTTTCATCATGTGCCTGATAGAAATTAAGATTTTACTTCAGAGGCAAACATTCTGTGATTGCCCCACTAGTTTTTAAAAGTCATGAAAACAAATATATCAATTTATCGCAGTTTTAAGGTCTGTTCATCCAGAGTACTTAATCAAAGCAAGTACGTTTATTATTTGGTGGATCGATTAACATTTCTGTTACAGATTGTGATAGGCAGTATCATGTGTAGCTATAACAAAGAGGACTGGACTGAACTAGCCAAGATGGCCGAGGTAGAACACTCAGATGTAGATGGTTCAAGAATTCTTTCTCATTTCAAATGAAAACGGACAGTTTCTAAACAAAATGATGTTTTCCTTATTTTATTTTGAAATAGACTTTTACATTTGTTTTATATTTGTATATATTTTACTAGGAAAAAAGTTACCGGCAGATGGGTTTTTTTTTATCTCCCATTTGATTCAATTCACAATAGCATGCTCTACATAAAACTTTGCAAGTTGTATGGTCGATATAATTACCTTGATAGTAAGTAAAATCTATCGTTAAGACGAATGCTGACTGAAGTTTTTCATACCAGTTATTAGACCATTATTTACAGTCAGAATTGTCTATGGGTTTTTCCGTTTACCGATCATGACAAAAAGCATACGGCAGGAGTATCCATCGACAAAAGATGCTTACTCCTCCACGACACTTTATATCCCACCTCAGATAGTATTTTGAGGTCCGTGTGTGCTCTGCTCTCAATTTGTATTATTTCAATGGACTTTTGAGCCTGGGCAGTGGTTAGAGCATTTGCTTTAGATTCGAGAAGTAAGGGGTTGTTTTCTACATCGAAGGCTAGAATTCGACTGCGAAGGCACTCCTTCCGATGAGACCGTATAAAATAAGGCCGCAGTAGGTGCTGGCAAAAAAAAAAAACAACCCAATGGCTCTGACTGTTGAGTATTTATAAGTTTAAAGCTGGAGCCTTCCATCAGCAAGTGGTGGCCTTTCCATATGGGTGAAAAAAAACTCGAGAAAAACAAAAATCAAACAAAACACTTTAAAAACATCTATAACTTCATTCCTGAATTCCAGTCTGCCTATCTTCACATTCTTAGTACGTTGATCATAATTATGATAAGGTTTGAACAATAATCAGTCAATATAATTTTTTCATATTAAGTGTGAAAAAGACCATGTAACTTTGCAAAATTATCCCATGAACAATTGTAAATCGTATACTAAGTATTTCTAACTTTTTGAATTATAGGCATACTTATAGAGTACATTAACATTGTTTTTATGCGATATGTACGAGATGATGTATTAGCTTCCATGGCTGATACGAATTTATAGTTTTTATTCCATACCCTTGTAGATCAAATCTTTAAAAAGAATATACTTGTGAATTACACATTTTTAGTAACCGTTTCTCTTAATTTTAAATTACTGTTCTTTGATATTATTAGATAGTCAGTGCTTTTCATTTGTATGTGTTCAAGTATATTTTACTACTACGAGTAATTATAATATGAACATGATAAAAGCATACCATTTTCCATATGACATATCCTGTATCAGCCCGAAGTACTGTCCTTTCTGACATTTTATTTTATAAAAAAAAACTCTGCAACGTGACTTGCAGAGTTTATTTAATAAAATAAAATATGTCAGAAAGTACAATACCAATATAAGCCACGGGCCTTTTATCCTCCGACTGATATGTTTTTTTTCTGAATCAGCCAGAAAGAATCATAAGTCATTATGATATGGAAATAAAGTTTGCATAATTTATTTGTATTATTCAATGGAAATTTGAGCATGAATACAAATCGTTATTTTTTTTATTTTATTATTCTTTTTATTTTAGAGGGAAGGGTTATCTATGGTTATCTCAGTTGCAAGAACTTGTATCAATTTTTTTTTTATACGAGGGGTATTTGAAAGATTATGAGAACTGTTTGATAGTATAAGATATGATCCAAACGAACAAAAAAGATGCATCTTTGAAATATCTTTTGTAATGAAACATTCTCACATGGTCTAGATGATGAAAAAGAATGTGTAAATTCGGAATTTTCCAAAACATTGAGTGATTACAAACAACCAAGGCTATAAGATTTCTTTCTGAATTTATTTTGAATCAATAAATGTTTCACAAGTTTCAACACAGATTGTTTTTCAAATATATACTTTGTAAAATAAAAACCCGGCCTTTATGACCCTTTTAACCATTAGTTGGTGACAAGGAATTTTAGTAGCAACGCATATTGAAAATTTGACATAGAGAGCCCACAGATTTTGAGTTTGTTGTTGTGTAGCAATCACATATTGACGACCATATGATTCTGAAAGCTGTTGTGGTTAATTTGTGAAAGCCCTGTTATAGCATCTTTAAATAAATATTAAAATAAACACGTTATCTAAATCTCTTAGACAACTGACAACATATGTCAAACAAAAATACTCTTGATTACTATCCTTCAATAACAAAATTAATATGTTATAATGTTACCAATTGATTTAATATTACATAATTAATGGAGAGCGAGTGTCTTGTTTCACTAAAACAAGTTTTGTTTGTAAGTTTTAGTCTGATAAGAAAAAATTGTGATATTAAATGCTATATTAGGCTGTAGCATTATTCATCTACGAAAGACGAATAGGGCCACATAAAAAATATTTTTATCTCGTAATTACGAGATCTTTTCTCGTAATAACGAGATAATTATCTCGTAATTACGAGAAAAGATCTCGTAATTACGAGAAAAGATCTCGTTATTACGAGATAATTATCTCGTTATTACGAGAAAAGATCTCGTAATTACGAGTTAATTATCTCGTAATAACGAGAAAAGATCTGGTAATTACGAGATAATTATCTCGTTATTACGAGAAAAGATCTCGTAATTACGAGAAAAGATCTCGTAATTACGAGTTAATTATCTCGTAATAACGAGAAAAGATCTCGTTATTACGAGATAATTATCTCGTTATTACGAGAAAAGATCTCGTAATTACGAGAAAAGATCTCGTTATTACGAGTTAAAGACGAATAGGGCCACATAAAAAAATATTTTTATCTCGTAATTACGAGAAAAGATCTCGTAATAACGAGAAAAGATCTCGTTATTACGAGTTAATTATCTCGTAATTACGAGTTAATTATCTCGTTATAACGAGAAAAGATCTTGTTATTACGAGTTAATTATCTCGTAATAACGAGAAAAGATCTCGTTATCACGAGTTAATTATCTCGTAATTACGAGAAAAGATCTCGTTATTACGAGAAAAGATCTATAAAAAATGGTGCGTTTCATTGTTCTACTCTCTCTTAATGTAAAATGGATGAACCTACGGAATTCATAAAATTAGTAAAAGAAATATCAGAAGAAGGAGCAGATGGAAAAAGAAAAGGTGGTGTTCTCTTTAGTGTCCTGACACTTTTTGATATGCCTGTACATCTTAATAAACATTGCAGGATCTCATTGTTACTTAATCCTAGATCGAAGCACAATTTAATAACTTCGTCCTCTTCACACATTTTTATTAAAGAAAAAATTCCAAGATAATGGCATAAATATATATTTATAATCATCTCGTAATTACGAGATCTTTTCTCGTTAAAACGAGATAATTAACTCGTAATTACGAGATCTTTTCTCGTTATAACGAGAAAATTAACTCGTAATAACGAGATCTTTTCTCGTTATTACGAGATCTTTTCTCGTAATTACGAGATAATTAACTCGTTATAACGAGATCTTTTCTCGTTATTACGAGATCTTTTCTCGTAGTAACGAGATAATTAACTCGTAATAACGAGATCTTTTCTCGTAATTACGAGATAAAAATATTTTTTTTTATGTGGCCCTATTCGTCTTTAACTCGTAATAACGAGATCTTTTCTCGTAATAACGAGATCTTTTCTCGTAATAACGAGATAATTATCTCGTAATTACGACAAAAGATCTCGTAATTACGAGAAAAGATCTCGTAATTACGAGATAAAAATATTTTTTTTTATGTGGCCCTATTCGTCTTTCGTATTCATCATTTATAAATTAATAAAAAAAAATACAATAAACAAAGCTACAGATTGAACACGACAATGCAACATATTGGGGAAAATATTATGTAATAGTTATTCCAATTAATAACTACAGCATATGGCTTGAATGGAAAACATCTAGGAATAGAAAAATAATAAAAATCTCTGCAATTGTGTTTAGAATGACATGATTTTAGAACGTCTGCTCTAGAGTCGCGAAGTAAGGAGTCAATCCTTACGTCGCGGGTTCGAATCCCACTGACGGACGTGAAGACCGGTACTTCTCATCAGACCGTATAAACCGAGGTCCTGTGTCGCAGTATGTGCTGGCACGAAAAAGGTCCCTCATTGCTCAGTAGCTCTGAGTGCCGAGTGTAGGACAAAATTTGTAGCTCGATCTCCATCGGCAAGTGGTGGCGTCTCCATATAAGTGAAAAATTCTCAAAAGGAACGTTAAACAACATACAATCAATCAATCAATCTACCATGCTCATCTGTTTATGATTATTAAAGAATATACGTATTCCGGGTGTAACACGTGCCTTGGTGATACATTTTATTAAAAATTGAGGATATCGAATTTTAAAGTTTTCAAAAAACAACTTTAGAGGAAAGCAAAGGTTGCGAAATGATAACTGCTGGAAATAGAAAGTTTATACAGATTTACTATAGTATCAATCCATATGTATGTACTTAATATCTTTTACAAAGACTTTTTTCTCCCGTCGAAAGACATTCCACTTCTTGGAAATGAGACCATGTAACTTTTTATTGTTAAAAGTACAAAAAGACATCCACATATCTGCTAGTTTAGGAAAGAAAGTTAAATCACTGTTCAAGATGATTGTACATTACAAATGAAGCACCGTTATCTGCCCCAACATAAAGGTTGTTCTTATCCACACACACGCTGCTGGGATCAATCATTAAATGTCTTGTGAGTAGAAGATATAAGAACTTGCCATCCTGATTAAGTACATGAACTTGGAATTTATCACACACAAATATGTGACCAAGGACATCAGTGCAGATTCCAAAAGGACAGAACCTTAACCTTTCACCTCGGTAGGAAAATCTGTGCTGTCCTAATTTATTCACCCCCACCACCATCTTCTTATTTACGTCTGATGTACATATATCTCCATTGATATTTTCTGCAATGTAGTGTGGATAACTAAACAATTCTTCTCCTTCGTTATTCTGCTGTATGATCTGTAATTCTTTTCCTTTCTTGTTGTACCTGGTCACTTTTGCTTCTTCATTAAATACCAACCCCACCAGTAAGTCCCCGTTGATTTTAGAGGAGTGTATGCTGATTGGTCTCCAGGCTCCTGTTTTAATGAATTTACTGCTTTTCTTATCCAGTGTTATCCTATTGATGACTTTCTTTTCTTTGTCTGTAAAGATCAGATCCCCAGTCTGTGTCACTGTGTGGTAACCGTGCCCTTTACTAGTCTGTATCTTCTGTAACAGATTCCCCTGTAAATCTATTTGAACAAGATTACCACGCAGGTCGCTGACCCAAAGTCTGTCTGATTGGTCCAGTGACATATGGAAGACCTCTTTAACACCTGGTACAATGAATGTCCTGACTTGAGAGGAAGTTAAAGGATGTGCTTGACCCACTGGAAATTTCACTTTGTCAGAGTTAAACTGTTTATCTGTATTTTTTCTTGGAATTTCCATAGGCTTTATTTCTCTTGTTTCTGGTTTCATCTCGGCAATACTTATTTTACCCATTAAATTATCAACATCTTGCTCATCATATTTACCACTAGTAAATACTAGCGGTAGTGGTTTAGTCGTTTCTGGAATTGGTTGGATTTTCAAATCAAACAAAGAGAGTCCTGTTACCTCTGTTGGATCTGATAAGGAGAGGAATCCGTGGATCTTTTTAATGAGATTGTTGAGATAAATTATATAAGTATCGAACATCTGATCCTGGGTTTTTAAATCTTCTAGCAGTGAGTGTTCTATCTGGTCTAGCTGCTTCATGTTCTTTGAATGCAATTTATCTACCTGATCTTTAAGAGACTCTACATCAGAGTTCATGGAATTTCTTATGCTGTGTATAAACCTCTTGATTTCTGTTGTATCTTCCTTAATTTTCTTCTGTAAATCATGTGATGTTGGCAGGAAATATTCTTGAATTTTGAAGTTTTCTTCTTGGCAAAATGAAAACTTCTCAGCATAGATGGTCTCTAAATCAGTGAAGGCATGGCCTCTGTGTTCTGGAGTGGCAGCACATTTGGAACATAAAGGGATTTTACATTCTTCACAGAGAAGATCTATATCCTTGGTGGGGTGGATCTCACATTTCTTAACAGGAAGTTGACGTTTCCGTAGTTGGTATAAGACCACTTCATGGATTTTTGTTTTTGGATTTTTTAAATGTTCATCTCTACATTGTTGACACATTGGTTGGTGGCAAGAATTGCAGTAAAATTCACAGTTTGACTCACAGTCTTGAATGCCACACTCTAAAAAGTGCTGGGCTTTGTCTTGTATGGATTGGGCCATCTAAAATTGTTTAATTTAAATTGAATCAGCACATTCTAGAAAAAACAACTAAAGCCAACTGAAAGCAAATGATACTAGTAATAAACAAGAGGCCAATGGGCCACATCGCTCACCTGAGTAACTTGGGTGATGCAGTTCTTTAGCAGATTTCACCTCTTGCTATACCTATCGTGCCCCCTACCCCCTCCCCTTATATGATTTTAATAGAATCTACACTACCCAAGGATGCTTCCACATAAGGTTCAGCTTTCCTGGCCCAGTGGTTCTTGAGAAGAAGATTTTTAATGATCTATTCTATACATTTCTATGTAAAACTTGCATATCCTATTGTGGCCTCGCCCTACCCCCAGGGGTCATGATTTTAACAATTTAATATTTACACTACCTAAGGATGCTTCCACAAAAGTTTCAGCTTTCGCCGCCCAGTGGTTCTTGAGGAGAAGATTTTTAAAGATTTGTTCTATACATTTCTATGTAAAACTTGCATTCCCTATTGTGGCCTCGTCCTACCCTCAGGGGTCATGATTTTAAGAATTTAATATCTACTCTACCCAAGGATGCTTACCACATAAGTTTCAGCTTTCCTGGCTCAGTGGTTCTTGAGAAGAAGATTTTTTAATTACCCAACCTATTTTTGTCTTTTCTTGATTATCTCCCCTTGGAAGGGGACCTAGCCCTTCGTTTTAACAATTTGAACTCTCCCCCATCCAAGGATGCTTTGTACCAAGTTTGGTTAAATTTGGTCCATTGGTTCTTGAGAAGAAGTCGAAAATGTGAAAAGTTTACAGACGGACGGACGGACAGACGGACGACGGACAAAATGTGATCAGAAAAGCTCACTTGAGCCTTTGGCTCAGGTGAGCTAAAAATGAAAATGTCCGAACCAGCCAAAATTCTTGATGTAAAACTTGTTCAATACCAGGTAGCCCCAAGACAAATAATTTTAATTCTAGTATATACAGATAAGTTGATCAGTTGATTGCATTTCTAACTCACATGAGAAATAATTTTGCATACTTACTGTGTTTGACGAAAAAAAAAAGAATGTTGTCGTGACAGAGACTTTATTATTTCCTGCAGAGATTTTACACGAGACTTAAACGAGATCTGCTTCTGATTGGTAAAAATAGATTTAAAAATCACCTGAATAGCTAAAAGATAAGACTGGTATTGACTGTTTCTTTCTTCTGTCTCTTAAAAATATCGAATGAGGAAATGTCAAAGTGGTCTCAAATATGTTAATTTACATATGACCTTAAGATAATTAAGGTTACAATTATACCGATATGAAATATAAACTGTATGTTTGAAGAAGAAAAACGTTGTATGGCCTTATTCAAAGCAAGATTTTCAAACATTCCACGTTAAAAGTTATATAAATTAAAATAAAAACTTGTTTTCATTTACCTGAGCTGGTATGTGAAAAAAACGACGTGCAAGGAATTCATAAGATGTTTTACCTGTGTAAGGAACTCCAAAACGCAAATGGACTAAAAAGATTAAACTTTTCTGCATTCCCCTAAAGACAAACTCGGGTGTTAGATGAGCAATGATAAAGGATGAACATTTTATATTGCTTTAAACAGGAAAAAAAATCTCTTAAAACCTAGAGAATCACTGGACAAAAAAGGTAAAACTTATGTGATAGATTCTAAATTGTTCATTTTTTTTACCCTTAGGGAAGGGTGCCTCGGCTTTTGTATTTCAGAAAACATTTCTCAGCTTTGGAGGTTATCCTGCAATATTAACGATAACACATACCCTATTTCTTAAACAAATATTGCAAATTCTGAAACGCTTGCACTAGAGTATATATACTTCCTCCTCTAGGAATACACAAGGTATAGGACGACGTCCGTAAACTATATTCAGATATCACTCGCATAGTAATTATTGTAAATTTAATTTAGTCTACTTTTATCTTCAGTGAAGCTTTTAATCATTTCATAAAACGTCATTTATGAATTATATATTTAAATCTTGATTTAATTTAAAAAAAAAGAAATAAGTTGTGGTTACTAATTAAAAATTAAAATGTTCAAAACCTTTCCGTTTTTGATCGATCTCACTCTTGATTAAAAGTTTTAGAACGTTAGATGGCATAGAACCCTATGTTGAAAAAGAAAAATGAGCTGGAGGCATGAAAGAAGTGATAAAGCAATTGATATCAGTATGAGTTATGCATATATCTGTATATTGAAAGTTAAACTTATAATTAATTGTAAATAGGGAACTTGAAACAAAAATCCCAGAATTATTTCTTTATTTTTCGCAAGAACATAACAAAAAAACATCTTTGATAAATGTGCAAGTATCCAAATTTGCAGATCAAAAAAAAAAAAAAAAAATAGATCACAATTTTGGAAGCATTATACAGGTATTGTTCATCATCAATGCTCGATAAAAGTAATTACACTATATGCATGTATCGTAAAGAAAATTTTCTCTCCTATCCAGTCCTGATTGAGGTAAGTCTGTCAAAATATAACTGATTAATAAAAGGACCCACAGCCAAGAGAAGTTATGACAATATCATAAATTGAGTGTTGGCCATATTCACAACAGTTATTATTTGACTGACATGATCACTCAACCCTGCGCTTTCCTATGGGTCCCGATAAACGAAACTAAAGACATAGTGTCTAAATATTAATTCAAAATGAGTTACACTTGTTTACAAAATTCCTGACCAGTATCCCCTTCATTTAGACAAAGTTTGGATCGAGCGGTATTCTTCGTTTACAAATTTTTCTCACAAATTCTTTGATATATGTGATTGAGATGGTTGTTTGAGTCAAATCTGTCTTTATGCAATTTATTAATTAAATCATTTTATTAATTTAACAAGAGGTTGGTGTGATAAATTCTCAAAGGCCGAGATTTTTTACAAGGTGGTAAATTCCAAGCGAGGGAGGGGTTTATCTTGGACAGGTGTGAATGCCTTGGGGGCTAGCAGTCTACCTCTGGTCATTTGTCTCCTAATCCCTATACACCGGAAGTGATACACAGTGAATTACCCAGATGTCAAACTGACCTGTGCTGGGGATTTTGAGACAATTTTAGATTAGAAGTTAAAAGTTGCAAGTAAATTTTTATCTCAATAGTCTATATTTATTTATTTTTGAATGTTTGAAAACACCCTACCCTTTAAAAATGGGAAATATAATGCTATAAATTAAAAAACATTAAAACAAAGATTTTTTTAGATGATAGTGTATGTGTTAATTATTAAATAAACAGTTATACTACCAAATTAGACTTAATCCATTCATCCCCATGATCTCATATATTAAATGAAAAGAGAGTTGTGTTAACTACATGTACATTTCATCAAATTGTATTTCTTAGCAGGTTTATCCTTTAAGGACGCTCTAAACACTGCACAGTAAAGAGCTCTATTTATTGGGTACTTTTATGCAGTTAGAGTGATCTGCCCTTAGATGTAAGATTAAAGAAATTGTTATTTACCGGTAATTACATGATTTATAACTGATTAAAATATTTTTAGCATTATAAAAGACAAAGAGTAAGTAATTAAATTAATTATTTTCATTAATTTTCCAAGTGTAAGTAAACAACAGTGATTTCTGCTCACAAATAGTACATTGTCTTTGAACATTTTTCCTGCAAAAAAAAGGCACGTACCCTATGTTCTAAATGAATGAAAAAGTCTCAATATGCATATCTTTATATGATATATGTTTCTCCGAGTCCAAAAAAAAAAACAACAGTTTCTGTTAGTGTTTAGAGCTTCCTTAAGGCTTTGTCACCATGAAACATGCTTAAAAAGATTCCTTGTAAATTCTTATCTGAATAACAAACGAAAAATTAATTTAAGTAACCTATGATAAGAAACACTTATAGATAAACTTAATAACATTTCATCTTTTAGCGTATTAAAATTAATATCGAAATTTCGTTTTAAAAACAATTTATGTACCAAAGTTTAATTTTTTAAAAATGTATGATTCATTAGACTATAATCAAATACTAAAGGTATATTTAATTTATATATACTGACACGCAAAAGAAACGCAACACCCTACTTTAGGGTGAAATAATTATATATAGTAAAGAATTTCTTATCTAAAAATATGGATATGTTCAATTTTGTAAATATTGGTAATTTCACGGTTGAACGACTTTCATACCATTACCGGAAGTCAAGTTTGAGTCTGCTTAACAGAAATTAAATATTGAATGTCTTACAAAACAAATGGCAATATTTGGAGTTTTAATGGTTATAAATGTTCATCATAAGTAATGCAGCAATATTTCAAATAATAAATTGTTTCTTTTCCCCTAGCGATGCTAAGGCTTCCTGAAAATGACTTGAGGTAATTCCACCCTTCTATGATGTCATAGGTTTTTGCAAAAAACTGTTTTTAGTTTAAATTAATACCTGATAGAATAATATATTTTGGAAAAATGCTCTTCAAAAGGTGAACTGATAAATATTGTAAAGTAAAAGAATTTAAAAAATGCATATTTTCTTTATTGAATCAATTATTTATTTTTTAAAAAGTGTTGACAAGGACAATAACTCCTTCTCAGGTCTCTTCATTCAGGCATTTGCTTTTTTTTAGTTCCCTTAATAAGGTGATGGAGAGTTGCTAATGCAAAAATTCACTGCATTACGCGTCAAAAGGCTCTAACGTATCATGAGCATTAATGACAGTACTTTGACCGGAAGTCCAAGGTTACTACAATGCGCTATGTTGGAGAAAATTCGACCTAATCATCTTAAAAATGACAAATTCCTTCAATCAGATCTCGATATTGATGAACCTACTGTATCGTAGAAATTAAGCAGCAATTGTTGTTTAAGGCAGTCTTGCACGTTTTAATTGAATGGCTAGAAGGGGATGTTTTATCAGTCATACGTTGATTTCTAAAGATAAAAAAATAATCATTTAAAAATTTTATCAAATCTCTGATGTTTTGAAAGGTGAGTTTAGTCTTACTGTATTCATTTTGAAATCATAAGATAAAAATTCAAACATTTGTTACTGCTTGTTGCGTTTCTTTTGCGTGTAAGTATATTATATCAAGCTAAATATTTTCATGATGATACAGTTTCTCTATACCATGTTCGATAAACATCAAAGGATCAGAAGTTATTGAAGGTCCCCACAAGTGCCAAACAATGTGTACAGGGTATACACAGAGACTAGAAAGCAAATATCAATCAAGTTCCAGCATCCAATGATGGACATTCATGCACTTGATTGACAGGGCAATCCAGATCAGGTATTTTTGAATGCGGTGCTTGAAATCTCTGCACTTAATTAAAGGCTTCTCACAGCGTCTGTTGAGTGCCTTAAATTTTGTGGCATTATTTCTCTTAAATTTGAAAAAAAAATTACTCTGTGTAAAACTATTTCTGTCGAAAGAGTAATTTTCTCACTATGTAAAATGGTTTTGTTCGAAATTGATTTACTAGTTCATGATACATATTGTGGTGCGGAAACTAAAATACCGTTTTTTGTAAATGATTCTAAATATCGAAAAAATAATTTCATTGTTCAAATTTTACTTTGAATAACAATTACAGGAAGTAAAAAAAAAATGTAAAACAGAACAGAGATGGCATCTTAGCATCCAAACATGTTTTTAATATATGTATAAAATTGAAAAAAAGGATATCAACTCCTCAGCAAGGAAAGATAATTCTTGATTAATGTTTGAATAGGACACAGTGGGTTATTTAATGAATTGGTATATCAACAGGGCGTTTTTGTGCATAAATACATGTAGCTCTTTTCCGATTGTTTCAGCACATACAGAGACAATTCTAGAAATCATGGACGCGTTGAATGCCTGAAAGATTAAAAAATAAGGAAGTACTGTAGATCACTTCACTTTTGCGACACCTTATTTTCGTCATAGACTATTTATTAAAAATAATTTATTTTAAATTTCAGGAATTGTTGTTATTCCTCTATATAATCGTAAAGAATATTTTTATAAGAAGAATGAAATTTTCGCGAAATCCTTGTCTCGTGTTATTACGCGAAAATAAAGTTATCGCGAATAAAAACAGTATTTTCCTTCGTTAAGGGAATTAAAATATTCAAAGATACTTGAAACATTTGG